AAAAAAAAAAAAAAAAAAAAAAGAATACTCCAGAGCTACGTTCCTCTACTCGGTTCGTTCTGTCACAACTTCTCCAACATCAGACTCGATCGCCTCGATTTATAAATCACCTTGCGCACAGATATAGAAATAATTGCAGGATTGTTTGAGAGATGCCGTCACTGCTCGCATGAAAGCGGCCGCCAAGGTGAAAGAAGTGCTCTACGCTGGCATAATGACGGTGAAAGGAAGCTCCGTCGTTGCTCCACGCCGGAACCAAAGGCCATTATTCCAACGACTCAGCTGGAGGGGGCAGCTGACAGAGACAGACCGCGGAAAATCGTTCTCGCGACGTTTCTAAAGGTTTGAGAAGCGCCTTTTTTCCGCTCGAGCGACGTCGCTCGCGTGCACTTTGATAGAGCAGCACTGTCTCTGAATTCCATCGACCGCCGCGATGAGATCGTTTCCTCTATCCTCTCGGTTATAAATTGCCACGCACGAGACCATCGCGGCGGTACGAAGATTGATACGTTTCGCTCGAGGATGAAAGCTGAGATTTGCATACAAAGGCAAACGTGAGAATTCCAATTTTCGTTTTGTTCATCATTTCCTTTCTTATCTCCGACTATTTTGTACTTGCTGTCTTGGTGACTTTTTTTGGTTTGGTTTGTGTGTTAAATAGGATGTTTGTACGCTGTTGTAGGTTTTTTTCTGTGACGCCTGTGATTCTTCTTCTTCTTCTGTTGCGAATATGTGAATGATTAATCGACTTCTAACAACTCCACGAGTATTATAATTTTATATTGCACGTTTTGAGTTTTCTTAGCCTCGAGGTGATAAAATTCCCTCATGTCTCATCTGTGACACGTTAGTAATTGATTGGTTTTGAATTTAAATATTACATGCTACAATACTATATGACAATTTTGAAAAATAAGATATAATGATTAAATTAGTAATAAAATATGTATAATCTATTAATAATTAAACATATATATATATATTTAATATATTATTAAATATATATTTACTATTATATATATTTAATATATTATATTTTATATATATAAGGAATTAGGCAAAATAAATATATTCACCTGTTTATTAAAAACATGTCTTATTGAAAATAATTTTAAGCCAATGAATAATTTAATAATGGCTGCAGGTATAACTACTGCAACTACGACTGTGCAAAGGTAGCATAATCAATTGATGTTTTTTTAAATGAATTTTAAATCTGGAATGAAAGGATTACTGAAATATATCTACTGTCTCATATATAAATTATGAATTTAAAATTTTAATAAAAATGTCAAAATTCGTAGTATAGTAATTGTTATGTAGTAGCACTAGCTTTCAGAGAACAGTGTCCAATCGATGAAAGTAAGGTGAAGATTGGAAAGCGACACTTGGATCAATTTGCTTGTTACACGAAGAGCTTTGTCTTGTTTATCGTCGTTCAGCTGCCTAGTTTACTTTTGAAAGAAGCTGCTAAAACTAAAGGATACGGATTATAGCGAAAAGGTGTAAATATGCAAAGAGAAACAAACAACAAGGAAACGGCAAAAAATAATTCATTTGCAACAGCGACAACCGTCGACTCGATGCACAGTCGAATTCAATAAGAAAAAACTGCACCGATTACGTGCAACGTCAGTCGAAATTTGTTTTTTCTTCGTATTGCTATAAAAATCGCTTACGAGATTATCGTTTCGCTCGGTCGATCTTTCGACTTTCACTCATATAAAAAAATTATGTAACCTAGGAGACTGATTGAGATTTCGATTTTTCATTTGTTGAGCTCGTCAGTTGCGTTCTTGTCAGTCGTTGTGATTTTAGAAAGGAACGTCTACGTCGAAACCATGTTCAGACGCTCCGGGATCTGACAGTTGTCGGTGGTCAAAATTTTCGGCTCGTTGGCGACCAGAGTCTTCGTTTCGTCGGGGCACACGGTGATCCTAGATCAAACAGAGAAGAGATACTCAGTTTAAAATTGAAAATCCAGTTATTAAAATTGTACTTGATCTCTTGCGCCACGCACGTCGAGAATCTTTTGCCCCAAAAATCGTAATATCTTCCTCGGTTTCAAGTGTACTTAAGTAAAACAAAATAATAAATTCATTACTTCTCAATAAGTAATTTCTGTTACAATAAGTAATTTAAAATAATAAATTTATTACTTTTCAATGAGTAGTTTCTTTATTACTTCTCAGTAAGTAATTTCTATCCAGTGATATCATCACCGACGAGTTCGAAAAGAAAGCAACGAATTAATTGCGTACGGTTCGGTCGCTCGTTATGGTCCGCAATCAGTTGCCCAGCGCAAGTGCTTAACATATTGCGCTGGAATGACGAATTTTTTGTCCCAAAATTGCAACATTTTCTCAGTTTTAAGTGTATTTAAGTATAACCCGGGCAACAACCCATCAAACATAATAAATACTTCTTAATAATCTTTCTATCCAGTGATATACCAACGAGTTCAAAAAAAAGGTGACGATTTATTGTATACGGTTCGGTCGCTCGTTATGGTCCGCAATCAGTTGGTTAACCTCTTGCGTTGGAATAACGTGCCACGCACGTCGAGAATTTTTTGCAACATTTTCTTAGTTTTAAGTATATTTAAGTATAACTCGGGCAACAATTCAGCAAACAAATAATAAATTTACTACTTCTTAATAATCTCTATCCAGTGATATACCAACGAGTTCAAAAAAAAAGCGACGA